TGGAGAATAAACCTTTTTTTTTCCTCTTCACTTATGCATGCACAAAGCTCCATTCTTTGCCTTAGTAAACTGCCTTATCCATCTTATTTTCGTTCCCCGTCCAGCTGGAAGGGGAGTGATAAAGTGGCTTGGTGGGCACGTGGCATGTCTCCAAGGTCAACCCACCACAGCTTTCTAGTGCCCACCAAGAGATACAAAGGCAGTTCTATCTCTCTCTCTCTCTGACTGTCTGATTGTCTGTCTATCATCTATCTATCTATATCTATCTATCTATCTATCTATCTATCTATCTATCTATCTATCTATCCATATTGTGTGCTATAGTAAGAGCAGCTATCTAGTAGCAAGTTCCTTTGTGGGACAGACATGGGGTTTGTCAGCTGTGCTCCTTCTCTCTCTGTTTTGCTGAGTTTGCTGGGAATGTGTTAAGACAAGCAATAGCTCTGTGCTTTGCCCTGACATGGTAGCCTTGTTATGCAGGGGGAGCTATCTTCTGTGGATGATGAGGAAATACATCTCCCTCTCCCTGCCCAAAACTGATGTGAATGGGTTTATAATACAGGCTCCCATGGACATTGCTCATCCTTATTTAAGCTGCTTAATACTGCTAATAGTATTAAGGAATACTATTGGCCCACTATGGGAATTGTGGAATCTGATGTCATCCTGGAGTTAGAGAAAAAAAACTTTAAGTATGGAGACATTGAAATGTGCCCTGAGGCATCCAGTTCCTGGGTGGTAGGGTGTGTGGAAGAATTTGGACAGGTTCCTAGGGTGGTTATTACCTCCAGTTGCCTGTGACTTTACACCTGAACACGTGCCCAACCCTGGCAAAGTGACCCATCAGTGATGGAAGGGTGCCTTGCCCACCCCAGTGAAAGCCAGCAGCTCCCTGCCCTGTGCTGTGGCTGGACCTGTGCGTGCCGTGCCACTGTTCAGTCTCACAGAGGTCTGTAGTTGAGGCAGGAACCCAAACTGCATTTGAGGACACTACGGCTGACACAGGGACTCAAACCACAGCCACTACAGTGCTTGCACCAGTAGTGAAAACAAAATAACAGATGAGGGAAGCTACAGGTCCATATAATTGATAAGAAAGGGAGGAAGAGGAAAAGAAGGGGGAGGAGAAGGAGGACAATCAGGAGAGGAGAGGTCAGATGAAAAAGCTGGTCATTCAAGAAATAAATTTGAAGGAGTGAGACAAATCAAATAGGAACCTGAAGTTACCTGTTCCTTGACCTCATCAGAACTTTGAGACTTGTGGAAAGACTACAGTCGCCAGCCAGGTGATGCTGGGATAACAAGGCTGACAGTCAACAATTAGAAGGTCATGAGGCCACAAAAGCAAAAATCCCTTGCTAGAGATGGGGAAATTGAAGGAGGAATTGGAAAAGAAGGAGCAATTTGCAGTCTCTAGAGATGGCCCCTCTAAAGCATGAGGGCATCAAATCCATTTAAGAAAGACCTTGTGAATTCCCCAGGAAGGTGGATCACTGCAGATGTAGGTATCCAGTACTTGAGAGAATTAGAAGTCCTGGAAGTGCTTTATAGTACAGTAAAAAGTGATAATGTCCTTGTCTAGGTTTAGGGACAAAATTTAGGATAAAATGCCCTGGAATGAGCGTTTTCTCTAAAGAAAAGGACTTTGATAATCCTGCTTGCCAATGAGAGAAATAAATCCTAGTGGGTCAAAGTGAAAAAAAATCCGAAACAGTTTATTTACAAAGAAAAAAAATCAAAAGAGTGCCTGTAAGGCACAGAAAAGGACTGGATAAATGCTAGATACTGAAATTTCAAAAATTTGACCCCAAACCCCCACCAGACAGCATAGCCATGAAGCAAAGGTGGTATCAGGGAAGGGGAGGAACAAGAGTTTGCGTAGCTACTTGGGCAGGATAGATTGGAATCTTTCTGATATTAGTCTCTTCCTTGCAGAAGGAGAAGCTGGTGGGTTTAAGTGTCCTTTCTCCTGTTGGTTTAGCTGCTTTGAGGTCTCAAGTCTGGGGAGGCCTCCCCACCAGCTCCCCACATGGGCCAGAAAAAAAAGGAAAAAAAAAGGAAAAAAGAGGAAAAGAAAGCAGAAACAGTTCAAGGAAAAAAAAAAGCAAATTAAAAAAAAAACCCAGCTGTTACTGGGCATAAGCAGACAATTATGAAATAAAGAATCATTATAAAATCACCCCAAGACAGTCCCTAAAGATCCAGAGGATGCCCTTTGCACAATGACTATATGAAGGAAGGTGGCTCAAAGTCCTCAAGAAGCATCATCATATAACAAGTTGTCCCAAAACAAAAGAGGCCATGCTCTATTTACTGCTGGATCCTTCTGCATGGTAGGAAATCATTGGAGGTGGAAAGCTGCTGTGTGGAATCCTACACAATGACTGCTGTGGGAGGAGAGCCTCTTTGCAGAAGTGAAAGCCATCCAACTAGCCCTAGAAATTTCTGAACATGGCCTGTATTCTATCTCTACACTGACACCTGGATGGTGTCCAATGTCCTGAGGTGGTGGCTGCAGCAATGGAAGAAGACTAACTGGCAACACAGGGGCAAACCCATCTGGGCTGCTGCACTGGGGCAGGACATCACTGCACAGGTAGAAGATATGACCCTGAACATAACTCACATAGATGCACAGGGGCCCAAAAGTCACACTACTGAACAACACCAGAACATTCTGGGACATATTTCATGTTTTTCTGTGGGCATGAACCAGCTGAATCCACTCATAAACCTGACCCTGGGAAGACTTACGCAGCTTGTGAGTGTAAGGGATCACCAGGAAGAGCATAAAATGTAGGGGTATTACCTTAATGTATTAATGTAGATGGGCATTTGGACACTTAAGTAGTGAGTTCAAGGTTAAAAAACATAGACATAGATATTATAGAATGGCTTAGGATTCAATATTCCAGTGAACACAGTGCGTGGACAAACCATTGAGAGACAATTATTTTTCTTGTGTAGTTGCAAATACAGAATGAGTAAAAAGCACTTGAGTCTCCTAGGAGCATTTGTGAAACAAAAAACTCTCACTGAAGAGTGGTTATACATCCAAATGATTCCACTGTCATATGAAAAACTACTCAAGAATGTGATTAAAGGCTTTCTATCTGGTTGCAAGAGAGTATGGTTTTAAACAGAATATTGACATCACTGGGGATATTTTCATAGGCTACCACCAGGGAAAAATGTTCAGACTTGACTCTTTATTAGTGAAGGTTTTGATCCTTTGTCAGAGAAGGAATGTGTCACAGACTCAAAGACAAATGCATTTCTATATTTTAAAAAAATGAAGATTATATTAAAAAAAAAGTGAAACAAACAGCAATAGTAATAGTTTTAGGCAAAAATTAACAGTGACTTGACAAAGCAGGAGCTAAACAGTCACTGTTATATGTTAAATGTTTGCATATGATTACCACTAACAAGCTTATTGTATATTTTGAGAGTATAAGTACTGAGCCAAATTACACATAATTATTAAACATGGATTTAAAAAGTCCAAATTCAATTTGTAATCATATATGCATGAAAATACATGTACTCAGTAGACACTAGTGGCATTTTCCTGTTCTGTCAAAGTCCCATTTGATAAACATTTATATTTAAAGACTGATAACATGCACTATGTCTTTAATATTTCTTATGAAAATCTGGGGAAAAAAATGTTTCCTGAAGTCAGGTAAGCCCAGCACAAATTGGTACTGGAAGTATGTGTTAACAACTGCCTGCATCTTAGACTGTGTCTAAGCTTTAAGGAGCTTCTTTATGACTCTGGTTCACTTTAATCTTTTTAATGTGGCTGTAAATAGGTTCTCAAAATCAATATATTACATTTGTATACCAGATCCCCTCTCCTTTTTATTTCATTAAAATAAGCTATAGCAATAAATGAGAGGCTTGCCTGGCAGGAATTTCCTTGTGCTGAACACAGCCATGTTGGTCACAATCATGTCCCCATAGCCTCAGCAAAGACACATGGGATGATTGTTTATGAGAGCATTTGTTCTTTGCAATATGTAGAGAGTAAGTGGTGAAAGGGGCAGTTCTGTCACCCATTGGGGTCTAACTCATACAGACATAGAAGCAAAACCTTCTTTCTCACTACTGTACTTTAGAGATATATTTGTGGAAGACCCAGTGTTGAGGACCAGACCTAAGCACATTTTGTCTCAGACCTAAGCACATTTTGTCTCAAACTTTCTGAGCATTGCTACAGGAAAGGTGTGATCAGAGGAGAGGATCCTGCAGAGGTGGGGCTGAGCTGTTCTCACCCAACTTCCTGCTCCACCTTGAGGCTCATTCACAGCTTCCACCTGCCAACTCATTTCGTGCAGAAATGTTGGCTGTGCATGTGCCAACAAAACAGTGTGAAAAATCCACTTTACATAAGAGGTGTGCACCAGGTTAACTATAAAAGTCAGGGATTGGCCCCCCTCAGTCTCTCTGGAGGTGTGTTGTGGCATTCTCCAGCACATTTTGAGGAGCTTGTTATGGGAGTTGAGAACCTATTGAAGCATATGGTTCAAAATTAAGGGTCACCACTCTTGTGGAAGAACATTTAAGAATTTAAGGGCTTGTTAGCCAACACCTTGTGAGTCAGATTTATAGTGATGGTACAATAATATCATGACAGTTCCCTGACATGTGTCCTTTTTCAGACTGAAGGACAATTTATAGCAAATATCACATCCTCTACCAGTGGGTTGGGACACCTGGGCACCATGCTATTCCTCAGTCTTAGCACAGCATCTCTCAAGTCACGTCAGTGTGTGCTACCTTACATGATCAGTATGATAAGAAGCTGTGAGCACTTTATGATAATTCACCCAAACAAGCACCTCCTTCCAATATTTTGTTCAGAGCACCAGTTACCTGTTACAGTGACAGACTAGGTATATTTTATATCTTCATACTAAGTTCTTTGCCAGTGCATCCAACTGTCAGCAGCATTTTGGTTTGTCAGAGAGTTGCTAAAGGAGGAAAAGCTCTCTTACCTAACTGAGCTGCTGCCAGCATCGAGGTCTTGTGCTGTCACTGCACCTATAATGGTCCCCACAGGTGTATCCTCATAGACTTCCATCGTGTACACGGGCTTGCTGAACACTGGAGGCTCATCCATGTCCAACACATTTATCTTCACGGTGGCAGTATCTTTAAATGGACCCACTGAGTGAAATCGATGGTCAAGATGGAGATTGGAGGCCTCCACTTTAAAGGTGTATGCCTTCTTTGTTTCAAAGTCCAATGGCTGTAGAAAGAACAAAAGCAAAACATTAGATTTGACTAAAAATTAGGCATTGCAAAATCACTTTGGTTGGATTAATCTGACAAAACTTAAGATGCCTTTTGTGTAAAATTCATCTCCTGAGCTAATCAATCATTTAAGTTTGTTTTGCAGTTCATCCTATGCTAAGGTGAATTTTGAAATAGGCCAGATGAATCACAGTCAGGAAATTACTGCTTCTCTACATCAAAAAATCAGGATGACTGGCATGGATGTAAACAGTTACAGTGTAGATGTCTGAAGTTAAATGAGTGAGATTCATCTCTTGCAAATGAGCTGAGTGAAGGTTAGTCAGAGATTTGCATTTGCAGCTCCCATGCACCGGCAATCAGCTGTCTCTAGTGGATCCAGCACCTTAAATAGAAGACTTCCTGGGGTTTTTTTTAGCAGGAAAGGCTTTCAGAAGACCATGATGATGATGAAGATGAGCCCAAATGAAAACTCTGATATATACTAATGAGTCAAACCAAACTTCAGGTACAACTTGGAATGTGAATTCTAATTTGATCTGAAAGAAGTTTTCTTGTAAAATGTCGATCATAGCAGTGAACTGCTATTCATGCCATATGTTTGATCTGCATGTACTTTGCAAAATGCAGACTTTGGCTCTGTCTTATGATCCTAGGTGTAATTCATAAAGTCTTGAAGATGACACAGCAGCTTTTGTGTAGTTATGTGGGGTTTTGACAGAATGTATCCTGCAAAATAAGGTTGTTTTGATGTGGGTTTCTGTCAATGCATATCAATTTAGTGCCTTTGCTTCTAGAAAAGCAATCATCTCAAAACCCTCAATACAGTCTTATTTAGTTGAAAAGATGCAGAAGCTTTATTTTCATTTAAAGGGTTTATCTGCATTGGCTTTCATGTTGTTTTTAACGTTTCTAACAAAGCCTTTTCCCGATGTCTGGGTAACACTGGCACCTAGTGGTTTCTGCCTATAGCTGTTAAGCTGGAAATTTGCTATCGGGAATGAACAAAAAAAGAACACGTTCACATGTGTATAACAAAAATATTTCAATGTTTGTTTTTTTTTTTTCCTCAGTGTTTTCAGACAGTTGTCACAGCCTGGATAGATTTAAATTCTTCAGTTTTCTGTCCTTGTCACAAGAGGACATAATTGGCCAGATGACTGGTGTAAATTGAAATAGCTCCATTAAAATCAATTGAGTTACCTTGACTTGCATTAGCTGAACCATAATGATTATAAATCCTTATAAAAGATTTTGTCATTTAAATAGACTAGATGCTAAGTCTTTTTTTTTTATTTTCTCTGAGCTGGGGACTTAAAATTATCCATATAAATTTTAATGCCATAGAAATAATCACAGTTGAAAGTAATTCACTACCAAACACAACCATCCTCCTACAGACAAAATTACCAGAAAAGCCAGTATGTGCTGTACCTTTGTGCCTGGACCGACAGAAAGAAGAAGAAACTGAGCCTGAGAAGAAACAGACAAAATTAAGTCTGGTAGATCTCATGTCCCAGTGGTGAAACCCTAAGATGTTGCCTTCACTAAAAACAGACAAGTTGGTCCATTTTCCAAATAACTGCCACAATATATTTCATGTTCTATACTACTTGTACACACCTGTTATGCATTGCCAAAATAATTTTACCCAAAAAAAAAAAAAAAAACAAAAACCAAAACCAAGGCAACTCTTCTCCAAATATTTATATCAATTGGTAACATATTTTCAAAAAAACATAAGAAGAGAAATATGAAGTTTAAGGACTTAGTCTGGAGAAGAAAAAGTCAGGGGTTAAATTAGAAATAAATTATTAAGACAAAGAAAGTAAGAAATCTAAGCTCCCACATAGGTAGTAATTCTGGGTAATACCTTGTAGGTATCTTTCATACCACAAAACTTGTATTAAAACTTTTCAGATTGACTCCTGTAATACATCAGTATATTTGCAAAGAAATTTATTAATGGAAAGAGCCATAATTCATGCAGTCTTTGCAGGCTGTCTTTCACCAAATTACTCTTCAAACACTTATACCAGATCATGGTGCATGGCCAGTGCCCAGTCACAACATTTCATGACGCAAGGGGAGCAGAAAGCAGGAAGATTTCAAACAGTTCTGTCCATTGGTATGTTCAGACTGGCATATTTCACTGCACAGGTACCCAGGGAGCGGGAAAATGGCTGCATTATTTTTCTACCCCCAGCATTATGGGGAAATACTAATGTATATTTTTAAAAAGACAGTGTGATCCCAAGAAGGGATAATGTTTTTCCGCTGAAACCTCAGAGGAACTCTTCCTCTCTTTCTGTCCTTCTATGGGTCTGATGATAAATATAGTTAGAGGTTATGCAGCCAGTGCAAAGCACAGATGGCAGTCAAAATAAGAAGAGACAGGCTGGAAGTTATGAGCCATCATGAGAGAAGGAAATCAGTGACAGACTCCCACAAAATAGCAGAAATTAACCTTTTGCCTAAGTGAGGCTTAACTGCAGCTGAAATGTATGGAGAGTTGGGAAATGTTGCAAGTGGTAAACCTAGGACTTAAATAGAAAAATACTTTATGAACATATATCATGTAACAAAAGTACAGTTTTATTGTCTTGCGTGTATGGGGATTGCATGCTACAACCTCCTGATCAGGTCTGGTTTTCCCATATTTGAACAGTTGAGTCATATAGATAGCACTGACAGTTTAAGATTTAGGCATTGCTCTGAATTGTCCAGAGTCTGTCTGAAAACAGTAGAATTGAATGTCTGCATATGTCTCAGGCAAAACTTTTTGGATTTTTTTGATTTTTGGTTTAAAGCATGTATAAAAAGCATTTTATTATATTTTTAATTTTTAGTAGATATCACTAAAATCTGTCAAGTAAATGAGTGGTCCACACAATACCTGTTTTTGTTACTAAATCAAAAAACTAAACCAAACAAACCCAACAAACAAACAAAAAAACAACCCCATCACTGTGTTTTACTGTTATATAATAGCTTTCTGAGAGTGCTCAGTTCCACTTTTATTTTGAATCTGGAAAGCTGCTAAGGAAAAAAACACAGTAGAATTCTTGAATGATACAAAAAACTCCAAACCAGTCCTGTAAGGTTCTTAAAATATTTTTTTAATTAATCAGATTTTAATGAAATTACTTCATATATTTTTTTAATAAGCAAGAGAAATATTTATTTCTCCTATAAAAGTAATTACATGCAGAAGGTAAATTTGAATAAGGCTTTTATTTTGTCTTTTTTTTTGGTGCAGAAAACAGTATTTTTGCCAATAGTAAGGTGATGCCTTATTAACTGTGAACTGTTCAATAACTGGAGTATTTCTAATTGATATCCTATGTACCACTGACAGAACAGATGTATTGGGCCCCCTCAACTTGTCCTCATCTGCTTTTTCCTATGTTGAGGTTACAAGCTGTTCTATATAGTTGCCTAGTAAAGTGCTATCAGCATATACACACCTGTGCACAGCAAAGCCGTTCTACAAATCCCCAAATCAAATACATACTGACAAATCACTTTACCTTGCAACTCTGTAAGCACCATGAATGGACTTATTTAGTATGACTAGGAGAGCACAAAAACAGGTCTGTATTAGAAATAAACATATTTTGAAATATTGCTGTTTTCTACATTCAAGGCAGAAGTTAAGAAATGCTTGCTATAGTGGGAAAGAGAGAAATAATTAAAGAACTGAAAGGAAAAAAATGGTCCAAAAGATATAATGAATTGTAATGATAAGCACAACAATGGGGGAAAAAAGAATTACCCTGTCAGTTTGTTCTGCTTCACAAAGTGACAGGACTGGAAACTCCAGAAATTTCTGCTTTATATACATAGATTTCCACACATAAGAAATACTCTCTCACATAAGAGAGTATTATTTCTGATAGATACTTTCACCTACAATGATGGAAAAGCTGTATTTTGGGATGAGATTTTAAGCCCCAGGACACATGGATAGTTATGGGTAGTAGGACTGGGTTGACAGGAAGTGCATAATAACTTAGGCTTGACTTCATACTAGCATTGGGCAACTGCAGAATAGCTCTGGGTCATATGTGCTGCCCTCAAAAGCTGGAAACAATTTCCCCTTCAAATGGGTTGAGCACCTACGCATTTTGTTAAATATTGGCATAAGGCAACTTGCTGTGCATTGACACAACTTCTGGATGACCAGTTAAATTTCAGTAACTGGATTTCTACACTGGATTCTAAATAGCATAAGGAAACAAGTGGTATTACAGAGCAGGTTTGTAAAGTAGGCTCTAGATCAACCAGGAGCATTCCTTAGTTAGAGTTGAGAAAGCACAGTAAAAACTGATATCTGTAGTGAGTATTTTGAGATTTGATGGCAAGTGGACAAAATATATGTGTGATTTGTATCTGGAGAAGGGGAGAAACCAGTGTCAGGAGTTCAGTTGTTTGCTGCTTTCAATTGTCTCACGCATTTTTGAAGGTGTTGTTTTTCTAGGGGAAACCAAACCAACCAGCTCTATCCACAAACTATGAAGACCAAAGGTCTCCTCTTCCTTACTTTTCCTGTTGTTCTTTGTGACTGTATCTGCACACAGCTCTCTAATTTCTGCCTGTACTGAAGGACGTAATACCACTTGCTCTTTGTCCTCAAAATGCACAACCACTATTTGCACTCTCACAAACCCATGAGTTATGATTACAGGCAGACAGTTCCTGTGCTCACACTTGCAGAGGAAATTCCCTGCCTTTGGAGGAAGAATGGGTGGGGTGGTGTGTGATGAGAAATCTGTACAGTTTTGGTAGCAAAACAAGGAGCAGCTTTAACACAGTTCTCACTGAAGGACATTGGGAGTCTGCCTTATGCTCACTCTTGTGTGGCACAGGTGCTCTCAGACTGCTCTTACATTACAGCAACATCCCAGAGCTTTGTACTTGGGCTGTCCCATGGGCAACACAACTGAACTTAGCCCACAGTCAAAGCACTATTTACTGACTGCATTAAAGGCTTCT